GATCTGGAGATGACAAGAGTAATCACTCTCCTTAGGACTAATTTTAAGATTTGTTGCACACATACAAGTGAGGCACTTCTGATCTTGTAGGTAAAGCACGAAACTTCTGTACTGCCTGGGTGCTTATTCTACCACTATCCAATGATTCCATGATCCAATGATTCGCCATGCCATAAAACCCACTTTGAAATTACCTGTTTTTAACGTATGGAAATGAATCCTGTTTAAAAAAAAAATCCTTTGGACACGCTTGTTTTTTGACCAACAATTAACATTAGACAATAATTTATAATCGTTTAGAATTCTTAAGTTTTATTGCGTAGCTTGGCTGTGTTTCGCAATACTAAGTAGCACGGCACCGTGTTGTTTACAGTATAATAACGCTAGTAGTGTAATACAGACAGTAAGATGGCCATGTAGGGACTGCGGATGGGTTGGTAGTGTGAGTTACGGCTGCGGAGTGACGGTCTTAATGATTTATTTACAGCTTTATAATGGTTTTGCAGGATTCATTGTGCCCAGAAGCTTTCTCATTTTATATTTATAATCTTCTATTTTACAAAAATCGTTTGGATTAAGGTACTTAATTATTACTATGTAGGCTAAGTATTGATGGGGCCTCACTAAGTTTGTAAAACGTAGACGGCAAAGAAAGCAATTGGTTATCAGAGATAAATACATGATCTAGAGAAAGGTCACTCAATAGAGATAAAGAGGATTGTATTGGAAAGTAACTAAGATGAATGCGGTGTTCTCTCTTGCCCTTCCCTCGCCTCATAGCAACCTGCACTACACGTGAGGTCCAAGTTAGACTTCGGTGGAAGATAATACCCATTGTGATTTAGTAAAAATATTTGTTTATGTAAAATATGAAGGCGTTTTTATTATTACGGAAATGTATTTTTAGTGACTCCATCATATGGATTTATTTATTTAGTATCTATGTCACTTTCGTAAATACAGACCTTTTAAAGGAGTAGAACTATCGAATACACAAGTCGATACTTTGAACAATATCATACTTTTCTAAATATATCTTAATGAAAACTGAGCTGATGGTGAAGCAAAATTAAAAATATTGATGTTACACAATGTATAGGTAATTGTTCAAAGACACGATCTAAGCCACGCGACCTCTATCATTGTACCACATAGCGTTTGTTGACCATAGCTTTGTTACAATAAACCCCTACACTGTATCCCACAATCCACCATCAGGCTATACCGAGAAACCTAGTTGCTACCAATCACTGCGGCCACAACCACAGACAATGGGATTCTACGGTAAACCAACATGTAATCGTTATGTTACCCTATCAGCCAACTAATGACTCAACAACTAAAAATGTGTAAAGGATACACATGTAAAAGTAATGTAAATTGATAAAGAGGTAACGTTAGGTGAGAGTCAACCAATTCAAAGGCATCTCAAAATCCTTAAAACATGCTTGGAAAAATGACAGTAAATTGGTATGGACCGTGTTTGTATTGGCAATGCGGGTTGTATTACGGGCAGCGGTAGGCCTACAGTTGTAAACTTTGATAACGTCAACACAGGATGAACCGAACCTCAACCTTGCTCCCGCAGAGTGACTTATTAGCTACTGTATATGGAAACATGCAAATACAGTAAATGGACTGGTTTTGTTTAGTAATGTAGGGTTTGATTACAAATCAAGAAATATAATATTTACAATGACTTGCTGCAAATCTTAATCTATATCTATAAAAGAGGAACTGTGTATGTATGTATAAATATATATGTATATACGTTATTCACTCCGAAACCACTCAACATATTGTAATGTAACTTTCAGGCATTATTACACATCTTTCAAGGATGGTTTGCATGAAGTTTGGTGCAGATTCATCAAAAGGGCTCCGCCCCAGAGGGGTTTAAATGGACCAATGTCAGACTTTTTGAACTACAATGTTTACAAATAGATATGACTAGCTGTTACCTAGCAACTGTTTTGTAGTTTGAATAGTCGCAACAAGCTGTATTAGTTATAATTTGAAATAGTGCCACAATTTTTCCACAGAGTGCAGCACAGAAAACAATTTTACTTTTAAAAAAGTCCAAATATAATTTAAAATATAAAAACCCCAATTGTAGCACACCTGTGCACTCAACAACTTTTAAATTCTCCAATGTCAAATATGTAAACATGAAAACCTTTATCAAAATATTATAAACAATAAAAGGGACTAATATTAATTATTAGTTATTAATTATTAGTTATTAATTATTAGTTATTAATTATTAGTTATTAATTATTAGTTATTAATTATTAGTTATTAATTATTAGGGATTAATATTTTTATCTTTTGATCTACATCCACACAATCTAACATAAATTATTCTGAATTTAAGCAACTACAATTTCCTTTGTGTCTTGCTTTTGCAATCACCATTATAAAGCACTAGCGCAATCCCTGACTATCGTCGGTTTAAATTTAGAAAATTCATGCTTTTCACACAGACAGCTGTATGTTGCGTGCTCACGTGGTGGTAGGTATGCCAAAAAACTTATATATAATAAGTTATATATATTTATTCACCAAATGAAAAAAAAAACAACAAAAAAAACATTGTTGTGCACTGGCAATTAAGTAAAATATTCTATTTTTATTTTTGGTATACACTTTTATTATTCATCTTAAAGAACAAATTATAATTTAAAATAATAGTTGTTAAGCGCAGCAACGCGCGCCAGGTAACTGCTAGTACTTAGCTAAATATCTTTCTCAGAACTGATTTTGTTTTGGCTTGGAAATGTATCAAATGTTTTCTGTGCGTTCTGTCTGGTAACGATTAAGTAACCAAATACATTTGTCAATATAGCTCGATTTAATGTGTATATTACTTACAGTAGCTATACTAGCTAATTAATTGGTCTGGCTAATGGATATGTTTTGCTAAACAATAATACAGTTTGGAATTTCACGGTTATAATTGTCGAAGATGTGACTCCATGTTTTTGTAAAGGAAAGAAAATGCATAGTTTTTTATTTATTTAAGGAAATCTACAGTTTACATGAACTCACAAATGATGGCAAAACGTGGATGTTACTTCAGACTTGATACATTTCGTACATGAACTTAACAACAGAGAGGAAATAACGTATATAAAAATATATCAATATAATACTAACAATCAACAATACAATATTACAACCAACATAGAAACAACAAAATTTGTAATTGGCTTACAATAATAAAGCTAAAAACAAGTAACAGTAGACTTATTTACTTAATGATTGACAACCATTACATGAACACGCAACAAACTAATAAATTAACATCATTACAAAACAAGAAAACTCGTACAAGGCTACATAATAAGTAACTTGTACTATAAATACAACTTACAACCTACTAGAAATGTGGACTTTAAAAAGATTCAAAGTTCAACGATTATTAATTTAAAATAAAGAAAACACTGTAAAAAATGTTTTCTCGGTGAGCAAAAATGTTTAACTTGTAAAAATAATGATGGAAAAATATTTAAATATAAATAGTTAAAAGAATTGAACAAATCTGAAAATTAGCCTATTATTATTAGTGCTAGGCTTGGTCGCTATCAGTGAATTAAAATCTAGTGGATTTTACAAAAACTAAAACAAAATGTGACGGTACCAAAAAAAGTTAAAAGTATTTTAATTCAAAAAATTAAACTGAAACCAACAACAACGAATATGTAAATTGAACCATTGAGTTAGATGTGGTGTCATAGAGGAGACCCAGAGGAGATTGGCACCGTTTTTGTCCGAGGTTTTATCTACAGTTGTTTTAAGAACTGCACCTTTATGCAGATTACGTATTATTATGACTTAAAGTTTTAATTACAACTTTTGTTTGTCTGCTAAAACTCAAGGTGGACTAAGTTAAAATTCGAATTCATTTGTCACTTTCTAAACATGACAGTGTCGTAGTAAAGTTGAAATCAGGCAATGCTTTTCTGTGAGGTTACAACTGCAAGAGTTTTACAGCATTTATATTAACGAGATAAAATTACATTTACCTCGTATGGATTAACAAGTTTTACCCCTATTATTTAAGTTTTAAAATCTAGAGAGACATTCTATTGCTAATTTCAATTTATTAAAACAGTGAGAGTCTAAATAGCTTTATGACATGTTCTATTCTAATGATCTTTAACATCCCTACCGCAGCAAACTTGCAATTAAATTCCATTCGCCTTATTGGACTTTTACTAAAACTTCTCCCTACTCATGTCATGGTGTTATTCCTCATTTCAATAACATTAGGTTTAACGAGTACTTAGGTTTGCGGCAACAGGGATAGAAAAAACTGTTTTTGTATTAAATTAAAAATAGACGTATGCAGCTACAGGGAAAGAAACAAAATTTTTAAATTAAATTAACAATAGACGCGATAGACCTTATCAACCTGATTAAGTGGAATATATTATAAGTTTTTTGACAAATTCGATATCATAATTAACCAGTTACACTACACTGAAGATCATTTAATTTATCTTCTTGATGTAACATTTCACCAAAACATTTAACAGCTTATATTCAGTTAAACCTCTACCACAGTTTGTGTAAACCTTATCATACTTCACATTTTCTAACAAATCCTCACATATTGTTTTGCTTTAAGTAGAACAGAACCTTGACATGTACCATGATGCTGATATCTGTATTATTGTACAGAACATATTGATTATGATATTGGTACAGGGAAATTTAAACTCATAAAATGATTTTATTAGTTGAGATATACATACAGTTATTACATATCTGTACAATCTTGTTGAAAAAAAAACAAAGCACAACTTCAATTTCCGGTAAGATAAAGGGAAGTTCATTGTACGTACATTTTTTCGGTTAAGGGGTGAGGAACGAGAGACACACTCCAGAAAGAAGCTGGTATACAGGAGCCTCGGGGAGTTTGAAATATTCAAGATGCTGTAGTGTCGCCACTACCCGACAGGTGGCTCTGGTGGGGGTAGTTGGGGGTGATGGTGGGGGGTGGAGCTCAGTTGGTGCGTCGGTGATGGCGCGGCCACCAGCGTGAGTGCGCGTACGAGAGTGTGTTGGATACACGTGGTCCTATCACAACAAACACACACATACACCAGGTAGATCTCCATCACTTTACGTAATTAATCTGATGATGTCAACAAGGTTTATTTCTTTCTACGAAATTTTGTGAGATTGTTGAAGTATAAACTACGAAACGCACTCGTTTACACAATCTACTTCTGTGTATAGTGTGGAAACTTTACTTTGTTTCTATCTACGTGTAGATAGATGAAAATTACGATTTACGTAGGAATGAATTTAAAAGTTATCATTAATTTAAAAATAAACTACGTTACTTATGAACGCTTATCCAACGAACACTAATTAAATTGCTGTTCATATTTTGGTACATAATTAATTCCTATTAATATCCCTAGGATATTTACATCATATTCCTAATGAATCCAATCCTACTTAATCGGTACGCTATATACAATCGAATGACATCTCAAAATCACACTGACAACTAAATCTATTATTCACTTTATTTGAAGATCAAACGAACTACTTCGAACCAATTAATTTACCTGGGATGATAATATAATTACCCGTCTTCCAGTGGTTGGACTCTTTTGAAAACAGAACAATTTGTGTGCAACTGGGTGCAGCTAATTCTTTCATCGGATAAAATAGTTGCATCTAAATCGATCAGTAAACCAATGATTTCTTTATACTAGGCTATACTAATTAGTGATCTATTTTCTCCTAACAGATTTAAAATTCCTAACAAATTGAGAAATTAGGCAACCAACTGAACTTAATTGAGTTTCTTCTGTCATATTTTTTTACAGGATTATAAATTAATCTATTTGTTCATTAAACTATGAAACTAACAGGGGTTTTTTGTCCTCGAGATTAAACTAACAAATGAGAGGTTCCAAATTATATTCGTTCTTAATTAACGACTCCCACTTCCCGGTAAAGAGGGGAACATGAGTTTGGGATTAAAATACAGTATCGCTCATAAAGAATGTTACTGCTTCGTCGTTTTTGTTTCATGCTTGATAAATGCAATACACAACTATTCAGTTTAAACATTAACTAATTATGTATCCAACCTAATTATGGTTTTACTTTTCTGAACAACTAAACAATAATTTAATCTAGTGGTCTTACATCACAATTATTATAAAAGGTAATTAGTTTTGTCTAGTTCCCCGATTGGCGAAGGGAATTAATAATATAACTGTTATGTTTTGTAAATAACCTAGGAAGTACATGTTTTTGTAGTTTCGTATAGTAACCACATTAAACAGTTATAAAAACTATTGTAGGTGTTTATTTTTAAGACTTTAACAATAGGCAAGCCTTGTCTACATTTAAATAGATTTTTCATCAATGTACGTTTAAAATATACTCACTCAACCATTAAACCTATATTTGCACAAACATACAAGAACTTTTGTTACATCAAATTCAATTCTGGTAAATTTACATTGTAACTATATTAAAAAAAAGGTAAGTTCTTACATCTGTTTACAATGTATAGTAAATCTTTATACGACGAGGAAAATTGGACTACTCAACCTGATAACAAAACTTTCTTAAATAAAATATGCCCTTAAAGATTATTCCCTATTTAAATAAAATTAAGTTATTGAGTGCTTAGGTTTGCTGCTTTAAGAACTGTCATAAAGTGTGTTTTCTATTGAATTGTTAATAGATTGGTATGCAATAAATCTGTTTACCAAATTAATGAAACTACAGTATATCCATAACTGCTTGTAAGCTATACCCATCAGTTTACTTGTTTTCCCTAAAATTAACAACACTATTTTAATTTATAGTTTGTTTTTATTTTCTCCGTAACCATTAGCCTTACAACGACGCTTTAATATACTAAGTTATTAGTTTCATTTTTGTGTGGTCTCAAATTACTTAAAATCAAGAGGATTATTTACCTTGATTTAGTGATTCCTAATCACCGCCTCTAAGGGTGAATCCATGAAGGACCGCAAATCCCCTCTTAAGGATTACTAGACGAAAAGATGTAAATTAACCTCTTGTTTATAAATTACTAGTTAACCACCCGCGCTCCGCCACGGAAATATTGTCAGCAATAAGAGACATAATAATTAACAACCGCGGACTTTTTGTTTACCGGACTACCCAGGGAGTTGTTACATTACATGATCGCTATGCCGCATTGAGAATGGTAGGCTATGCCTCGATCTGCAATATGGTAGCCTATTGTAGTTCAGTATTGTTTTAAAATTATAATGTAAAATATAAACATAAAAATAAACGTTTCTGTAATATCCACAAATTGTTGTCATTAAACTTTTCAATGGATATTTTGCTTTGATCTTTTTAACTTGCACTGCAGCAACACGTACGACAGCTCCATTTAAATCAACTGTATTACAAGTAAGGAAGGGGAATGCACTGTTTAGAGATTAGTTTTCTAATATAGTTACAGCGAAGTTAGGAGAAACAAAGAATATTAGATACGTAGGCTTTATGTTATTAAATGATCGCTAAGATTGGTATATGTATATGAAATAAGTAGAATTTCCCAATTTACATAAACCAGGGCCTACGTACGGGTACGTGTTCAATACTGTACTATTAAATGGGGCGTTTTCTGATTAAGTCCATAAGTCATATTAGAAAGTAACCATATCATAAATAATACATGTTGCTTTATTATGTTTTATTTAATTTTCATACCACAATATATTTTGTTAAAGTCAAACACAATCTAAGAACCAGTCCTAAGTTAGTTACAGAAACCAATCTATTTGATCCCAAGAGGAATGCTAATTTATATGGGGGAATGCATTAGGTTAGAGTACAATTACAGTGGTATTTTATTCTATTCGTGGACATGACGCGGATATTGTAACTCTCCTTATGTATTGGTATCTATATACAGGGTGTTTTTTTTTTAAACTTGCATCTTTATTTATGTTAAAACCGCAATAGATAGAAATATGCAGTTTGCGGGAATCATCTATTGACGTACGGGGCCCAATTTTTTTAAATTAAACGTTACATTCACATCCCCCTTTTCCCCCCTGCCCCAACCTATTTTTTTAAATAGCAAGGTACCCCTTGTGACATATCAAATGAAAGAGCACGAAAAAAAGAAAATGTTTGATGAAAAAAAATAGAAAATCGGTTCATAAATTTGTGAGATATTCCCCCCCTCCCTCCCCGGAACTTAATTTTTTTTCAATAACAAGCTACCCCTTGTGACATATCAAATGAAAAAGCATCAAAAAAGAAAATGTTTGGTGAAAAAATTGAAAATCGTCTAATGAATTTGTGAGATAACCCCCCCCCCCCCATTTTCCCCTACCCATAACTTTTTTTTAATAGCAAGGTACCCTTTGTGACATATCAAATGAAAAATAAATTTCACAAAACCTTTTTCTTTTTTCATGCTCTTTCATTTGATATGTCACAAGGGGTACCTTGCTATTAAAAAAAATAAGTTCCGGAGAGTGAGGGGGGAAATATCTCACAAATTTATGAACCGATTTTGAAGTTTTCTTCATCAAAGATTTTCTTTTTTCATGCTCTTTCATTTGATATGTCACAAGGGGTACCTTGCTATTTAAGATAATTAAGTTGGGGGCAGGGGGAAAAGGGGGGGAATGTGAATGTAACGTTGAGTTCCAAAAAATTGGGCTCCCTGTGTCAATAGATGATTCCCGCAAACTGCATATTTCTATCTATTGCGGTTTTTACATAATAAAGATGCAAGTAAAAAAAAAAAAAAAAAAAAAAACACCCTGTATACATATAAAACGCAAAGACCTTACTGCCTCACTCACTCACTCATCACTAATTCTCCTACTTCCCATTTACCTAGGAGACTGAAACTTGGTTACACTGATTCTTTAGGCATTTAAATAGAAAAAAAATAGTGGTTTTTAAATGACTTTTGGGCTCCATCCCAGAAGTTTCCAATGATTTAAAAGGAAAAACTTTAACAGCTGTTTCAATTGAACAAAGTTGGTTCTATGTTGCTAAATGGCATTATAAAGTTACAGGGTTTACAAACAGGATGCAACACTGTTAACTTTTTGTTTGAATTTATTATTTGAACTAAGTAGCTACAAAAATCTGTGATACACAATGAGGACTGTCAAATACAAATTGTTTTTGTATTGTATTGGGCGAATAGGGTGATTTATTTTAAAGGGAATAATTCATCAACTTGATTTCTTTTTCATAATTTTTATAAATGTGCATTAATGATCAAGTCGTCAATGACTTGGATGGAAGGAACTAATATCACAGATAATATGAATGTTTGGAGTTGTTAATAACGTGACAACTGCTTGACCAATTTTTTCCATGAATAGAGCCAATAATATAACCAAAGGCCTAATGGAGGTAGTCATATTTTATTACTCTCCTAGGGCTCTGTCCTGGAAGCTTATAGGTCCAATGTTGTTCTTCAAAGTAACAATAAAAATCCATTCAAAATGCCACCCAACCCGGTACTGCAATGAATAGTTTTATTTACTATGAAGTCAAACGGGACGAAGCCCGCGGGTAACAGTAAGTCGTAAATAAAGTAAACTATAAAATAACACAGCATTGAGATTAAAGCAACTTAGATCAGAGAGGTTTTCGCATGACCCGGTTTTAATTTAAAGCTAAACTAAATATATGTTGCTGCCATGTTAACTTAGTCACAATCAACATGTGTCGTTTGTATGTAATTCCTTTTTTAGTTTATTTTTTTTTAGATAGATATTCAAATGTCCAAATAGTTGAACAAATATTTTAGTTTTTGAGACCGATATGATATTAATGAAAATATTCGGAGAATTAATAGTTCGAAAAACTAGAAATAAAACACAATCCTCGAAAAACAAAATAAGCCCTATATATTTGTTGATTTATTTCATCCTTAACCCTTAATTTCCTAATGTCCCTGATGGGATTGGTATTTAAATACCAGCAAAGCGACTTCTGAATATAACGATATGATCTCTGCCTGGATTAAAAAGAGTATCTTTAATCTATGATAATACGTATAAAAAGATGTATGACATTTGCACTTTGTTACAAATGTTTCAAGAGTGCTAAAAAAGTATGA